TGCACTGATACAGCAAGAATAAAACGCCTTAGCTTACGTCCAAAAATAGACGACTGATGACAGTTCTCTAATGTTATTAGATATTATAAATAATATTACTAGAACCATCATCATCATTATTTGAGGGCTTTACACTCCCATTATTTGAAATCATAATAGCTTACAATTTCAAGTATTCAAAAATGAAACTGATACGTGCATATAATTTGCCTTTCAGGAGATCTCATGAGATGCAAATGAATCACAACTTCTCATCATAAGGAAAATTGTCTAATTCAGTTCTTCACGATTTCATAGTGAGCTGTAGTAGACATGCTACTTTAGAATGATATAACAGGGAATACACAGGAGGTAACAATATGATCATGAGGACATTAAAGTATTACCTGTCCTGATTCATTTTGCAGGACCAAGAACCTCTCCCAACTGGACTTAGAACTCTTTGATTCATAAGCATAATTCCAGTATGCTAGGCCTTCACAGCCCATCAATTCCCATTTCAGATAAAGAGAAGATGAGTTTGCAAAAGCTTCCCCTAGAGTTGCAATGCCAACAGCAGAAACTCTGACAGTTTGACCATTCGCCACTGTTATAGGGGTGATTTGAATGTGTCCTGTGCTACGTTCAGCAGCAGCCACAGTCCTTACAAGATCACGTTCATTAACTGACAGTCGCACAATGTTAGATCAAAGGAATTCTGGGGAAAAAAAAACTTCAGCTCTAGAGCATGAAAATATATAGTAGTTACCAGGTTCATCAATGATAAGTGCAATGGAAAATGGAATGCCGCATGTAATAGACAGTGTAACTTCTGCAACAGTGGGCACCGGATGCTCATCTCCTGCCAAATTCCCACGTCTGAAAACCAATTTCTGAGCCATTCAAGACCAGAAGAAAGGCGAATTAATATCTTGCATATTCACCAAACAAAAAGTATAAAGCACTCTATATGTGCAGACATATAAGTCACCAGGGACTCACAACTTACATAGGCCTCATGACTTGAGCACAAAATTCGGTACGTACTCCTGTAGCTGCCAGTAAGTTGATGCACTTGAAGGCCAACTTTATTCTTAACAGTCTCGTCATCCAGCAGTTCAACAGTTTCAATGAACTCAACACTAGTGCCCCACTGTTTGGGACCTCCAAGAAGCATGACATCCAAACTTGTTCCTGGAACAAGATATAACTTCTCCAAATTTTCTATTTCATCATCTGTTCCTTCATAAGAATAACCTCCATATTGGTTCCCATCACCTAACTGACCCAGGATAAGTGGTGGATATGATGCAATTCGTGATGAGGCCTTCAAGACAATAGGTCCATGGAAGTGATGATCAAAGCTGTGGTATTCCTTGGATAGAATAGCCTGAAGCAGCGTCTGACCAGAACCAGATGCATAAACCTTAGTCCATGAACAAGGTGGACCACTCACATACCCATGGCCAGCTTTTGCTAGCTTTTGGACAGCAAGTGATTCCTCTGTAGCATTTAGGGCAACAAAAGACTCGCTTCCAGTTCTCCAATTCACAAAAGTACGAAAAGCATCGCATTTGTAGAAATAGGCACCTGCAAATTGTAAGCCTGACTTTTGTAAAGAGAAAAATAGAGGTACCAGCTGCAATGAACGCATTGTCAAGAAATTTCCAGAGAACAGCTAACCATTTGACGATTTTAATGTCACTGCAGCTTGAAGATGTGACCCCACAACAGTCTCCACAGGGAAGTTTGGCAGCATAATCATAGATGAAGGCAAAGAAACTTCGATCAACACCTATCAAAGTAGAGGAATAGCAACTTGAGAAGTTTATAAAATGAGAAAAGGTAGCATTATTAATAAATCTTGACTTGTGGGCCAAACACAAAAAAGTGCAAGCACAAATAGATGAACCAGTAAATAGCTGGATAATAACATCAAAGAATACCATGGTACAGGGAGGATATCTCCACTGCCAAAATTTGATACAGAAAAGCCTACATTAATCGGATTTCTAGGAACATCAGAATGGTAAAAAGAACAAAAAAACACAAATAAACAGAACAATTCAGCTACGTACATGTTGGCAATTCAAAACTAAAAAATAACCGGATTCCTTCTACTTCACTCTATGATGATAAAAAACGGCCAGATCTAGACATGTTGTCAATGGAGTTTCCAATCACACTGATCAAATTGTCTACATCAAGGCAAGCATATGCATGAGAACAGAGATTTAAACAGCTGCAGTTCTATAAGTACCTCATCATAATTGAAGGGATCAAATCCAGAAACTACTTTCACAGTAGCTTTACCAGGCTTCATAGCCAGGATGATCCCTGAAGTTGAAATTGACACAGTAGAAGCATCTGATGAGTACCATTTGTAGTCAGCTGATGCTTTTGCACAACCTACAGGGTTTCAAAAAATCCATCGACCGTTAGATGACTACAGGTAACTTAAAACCTAAGGTAGATAAGGAATCGCAAAGGATTCAACCTCCCACAGCCTTCAGCTCCACCTCTTGGTAAACTGCAGGAGCCCATGGAAGGTGGACAACTTGAGATGTTGTGTTACCATCCAGAAGAAATTTTACGTGATCACAAACGACAATTTCTTGCTCAACTTTCAGAACCTATTAGCAGATTGTAGCAAACATGGTTAGCGGCCCAACAAAGGATACTTTTGCATGATTCTAGCAATGTGCAAAAAGGATAATAAAGTTCAACGAAAGAATGTCATATTCACCTGCTCTCTTTCCTGATGCCCATGGAAATAAATCAAAGATGCTGCTAATTTTCCAAGACCCAGAGAGGTTACGTTGATGACTCTATAATTCCACCAGCCATGTTCGACAACATTAGCAGCTGATGGCGGCAATGATTTCCAGTAATCAGTTGGTTCATCCAACAGTCTAACATTATCTTTCTGAAATCCAAGAGGGAAAGTTCAGAATTACTGAATCAGTAAATGTCACCGTTGGGAGGCACAAATCTTTTAAGAGATAAAACAGTTAGATTGAAAATCATTATCATACTTCAACCACAAACTCAAACAAGAAAGAAGGTAGAATAACAGAGCAAACACTTGCGGAAAAATGAAATGAAGCAAACTGCTCAGCCAAAAAATAGTATGGTTTTTTTACATCATCTGCTCACATGCTAACAGTTACAAAATAAAAGTGTATATTTAAGTATGTCATGGACAACATTGTTCCTTTTGACAAAAGCATTACTATAGCATATGATATCAAATTATGTTGTGCAGGATGAAAACAGAACCTCAAATCAGTCGAATTGCTAACAACTGCAATTTCAAGAGAATGATAATAATTAGGAGCATATTAAAGGAAGAACTAGGGAGGAAATCAAATAATCAACTTTGAAAATAGCTAATACCAAATGGAAATCGAACCCAGAGCCGAGGCAATCTCTTGAATCTGAAACAATCATCCTCAATCTTATCCTTATTTTTTGACTGCTACGCATAAGTGAAGTTAAGAACCATATCCAACCTAACCAATCAATCTAATTCTTCTTTTTAAAACCTTTTAAGTTAATTCTGACTAAAAAAACCTATTAAGCTAATTCAAAAGTTCAATCTGCAGATAAAAATAATGAGTTAACTTAGCTGTGTCTTGCCAGTTGCCACAGTAGGTCACTTAACCAAAGACATGCAAAAAAGAATAGAAGTATATAAGACATGTTGGGTTCTATGACTTACCTCTGTGATGTAGATCTCTTGTGCATCAGGCCCGCCAGAGAAAACTTTGACTTTGATAAGGTAACAATGACCAATAACCACGTACCATGTAGCCCCAGAAGCAACAGGTTGAACTCCTTCCATCGGGTCGCCAGAAATAGAGAGTGGCACTATATACAGATGTAAGCTTTCTGGTACCACCACATACAGTGAGGAAATCTGTACATGGCCAGCAACTCTAGTATCTTTAACAGCAACAGCCGTTATTCCCAAATTCAGAGCATGAGCAGAACCCTGCATTGGATCTACTTCAGCAACTGAGGAGTTTGAGACAGACCAGTGATGATGTAGAGATGGTAATGCTACAACTGCAAAAGCCAATAATGAGCATACTTTAGGAAAACTCAGCACACACATAGGTATCACATGCAACTTTCCTCGGGTTCCCATGTAGGAGATCAGAATCCTGCCAAAAAGAAAAGGAATGGGACGATAGGGGAAACAAACCTTGTGGAACATTTCCTCTGATGACTTTAAGAGTGTATTGTAAAGCAGCACCAACCAGGACATAGACAGGAGAAGGGGGCTCGACTGACATGGCTTCTGCAACAGTTAGTACTATCCTATCACTCATGCGCTCAAACTGTGGTTCACGCATCTGTACAGATACAGTCTCACGTCCAATCCCAGTCCCTTTGACAACGCACAGATCTGAGAATACACCCTGCTCAACGTACCATAAAATACTATCAGATACATAGAGGAGAAAATAGAGCAACTGAAATAAAATCCAATTCTAGCATCCATACATCATCTTCAAGCTTTATCCTGAAGTTTAAGGCTGCACACAATCCACCACAGTCGCTCAAAGGAGAATGCTTGAGAGGAACATGAACTAGGTGATGAGGCCCCGGACCTTCAGGTACTAGTTGCCACATGAATTGTAAGCCAACTAAGGATGAAAACACATTATCTGCAACAAATAATTCACAGGTGAACTGGTGAAAACTTGAAAAAGGAAAGAATCAAAACAGAAGAGCTACCACGTAATGCATAAAACAAGCAATTGTTCCAGAAAAGAGCTAAGACACTGCACTTAAAGTAGTGATTTGGAATGTTTTATCTGTGGCAAACAAAGATTGACTAAAAAAATGCTAGAAGCATTGGACATTATCTACAGCAGCTTACCTCAGAGAAGCGAAAAACCATAAACTCCGACCCTATCCATTACCCAAATGGGACTTTAAAGCTCTATATATATGTGAATCGAGTAGAATGACCATACCTTCACTATCAAATGCGTGAACTCGAAGAGTGGCAAGTCCATCTAGATCCAGTTTAATGGAATTATGAAAGATCTGAATCCTGGAGATTTTGTCAATGAAAACTTTGCAGCGAATTACAACCCCAGTTTGTATATCAGTAGCATAAACTGCAGTCTCCTTCCGACCACTAAAGGGGGCAATGGAGCTCAACATCGCGCTTGTCGAGCAGTGGCTACTTGCATTATATTCAGGTACAACAGAGAGTATATCACGATGATCCCATGACCTGTAAATATTAGAAAATTGACATCAGCAGATATTTAATATGCCAAACAACATTATCCTCTCCTCCGTAGCTCCGACTTGACATCAACCATGGTTTTACATTTTGAGAGTTGGCAGGCTATGAAGACCTTCAAGATTTGGGTTACTGAACATTGTGGCCACAGTCACTACTAAGTAATCAGCATCCAAACCTGGGATCTAAACCTATTATTATACTGCCATTCCGCAATGGCCTAACCAAAATTTCTCAGCATAGGTCTCATCAAGCAACAACATCCTAATTCCTAACTGTCTTTTCCAGAGAACGTTTCCAACCCACGTTCTTCCTTTTCACAATGACGTCGCATCCAATCAAACCATCAATTTCGAATTCACCTAAACCGGACGTCAGCTACTCAATCCGATCAATCAAGCAATGCTCGCCGGTGGAAGAATGACGAACAATAAATAGAAGTACAACTAGCAAGCAGTTCGAACATCAATAAACCACGCAACTCCATGGATGGAACTTCCCAAACTCACCATTTGAAGCAGCCGTCGTATCCTTGAAGCCGGTAATCCACAGAGTACGTCATCTTAGGAGGGAGCAGTATGTTGACATCACCAATGTGAGGGCCGGAGCTGGCCATCGGCGACGGCGACCAGGATGACGCTGTCTCCGCCGCAATGATAAGCAAGGAAACTATCCAGAGTGAACTTCCGAGCATCTTGAAGGGCATGACGCTGTCGCATCTACTAGTAGCTATGCCGGAGAGTGAAGCAGTGGACGGACGAGGGAGCAAAGAAGGTGGAGGGAAGAAGGAAGACATGGCGGGATACTATAAAACCTAAGGCCTGGGTTTTAGCATTTTTAATTTCCTTGAGGCGAGAGAGAGAGAAAGGAAAGTTCAAAGTTAAATCGGAGAAAAAGGGAAGAAGGAAAAGGAGGGGAAAGTGGAAACTACAAAGACACTAATAACTCGCCAAAATATCACGCAATAATGCGATATTTTACTCATATCTCCAATATTGCTGATACCACCTCCTCCGTGCTTTCGCCACCATTTTTCTTGGCGAAGTAAGCCCCTGATCGGCGCAAGCCAACGGCATGGTTTCCCGCTGCCCTTTTCTGTCTGGCCCGGATGCTCCGTTAGCCAGTTAAAACCCGGCGGGTTGCCCGGTGCCGGTTGAAACCAAGCATCGAAGGTTGCTCCAGCATCCCCTGCAAAAGAAGCACAAGTTGACAAAATCTCGAGTCATCGGCCTTATCCATCAAAAGAACGGCAATTTTCTATTCCAATAATAGACAGCGACTAACTGGACTCCTTTATTCCCTCACTGAAACCTATTGCCATGGCGTGAATTGCTGTGTATATATACCTCCGTCAGTCTACTTCTTCTACTGCAGCCGCCGTGTGTGTATTTCTCGATGGAGAAGAAGATTGAACTTAGAATGAGGCCATGGTTGTTCTCCGCTGCTCTTTTTTGCACGATTCTGCTATCGATTCCATGCGGGGAATCCAAATTCATGGTGTACAACACTTCGCAAGGAATAGTTCCTGGGAAGCTTAATGTTCACCTGGTTCCCCATACCCACGACGATGTTGGGTGGTTGAAGACCGTTGACCAGTACTATGTTGGCTCCAACAATTCCATCCAGGTAATTGAGCCCTCCCTGCTCGGTTTCTTTCTATAGGCTTAATCTTGATCTCGCAGATGTTTGTTGGACCAGCCTGACTGTAATAATGTTGAGACCAATTTTGTTCGCTTTGGGCTGTAGGGTGCCTGCGTGCAGAACGTTTTGGATTCTCTGATTCCGGCATTGCTGGCTGACAAGAATCGCAAGTTCATCTACGTTGAAATCGTAAGCCTCTCTCTTATGAGTTCTCGACGAGTGTATTTAGTTTCCATTTCAGTCTGCTACTGATGGGATTATGAAAGGAAATACAAAACAGCCTTTGGATGTTTGTAGCTACACTTTCCTTTTCTTGATTGCTTCTTTGCATTCATTCACTATCCTGTTTTCTGAAACGACCAAAGGTTATGGAACTTATACCCATTTGGGATACTTCGCCTAGACCTTAATGCTGATAACAGTAATGATGTGCAAGGCAATTGAATGCCAAACTACCTTAACTCATCAAGCTCTTCCCCCCTCTTTGTGCTGAATGGTTTACCTTGACAATGAAGGCATTTTTCGAAAGATGGTGGAACGAGCAGAGTGAAACAATGAAGCACGTAGTCAAGCAGCTTGTGTCGTCGGGGCAGCTAGAATTCATGTAAAACATATCATTGGTTGGCAGTGGCTAGTTATTTCGTTTGTGTTTGGTTGGTATAAGATGTTGAAAATGGAAGAGAATATTGCTTTTATACCTTTTTCTCTTCTAATGTTTGCTGCAGAAATGGGGGAATGTGCATGCATGATGAGGCGGTGACCCATTACATTGACATGGTTGACCAAACGACTCTTGGACACAGGTTCATCAAAAGGGAATTTGGTGTGACACCAAGGATTGGTTGGCAAATCGACCCTTTTGGACATTCTGCAGTCCAGGCATACTTGCTGGGAGCTGAGGTAAACTCATCTATTGCTACTTGCATATGTCCTGTTTCATACTGCTGATTAATGTTTGTTAAATGTACTTGTAGGTTGGTTTCGACTCCTTTTTCTTTGGCCGGATAGATTACCAGGACAGGGAAAAACGTAAGGGTGAGAAGAGTCTCGAAACGGTGTGGCAGGGTTCCAAGAGTCTTCCTGCATCAAAGGTGATGAAAGTTCATGTTTCTTTCAATTCTAGTTAGTATCACTGTGAACTAGTATGCATTTCACTTTCTTTCGTCTGTAGATTTTTGCTGGTGCATTCCCAACAAACTATGAGCCTCCACCTGGTGATTTCTACTTTGAAGTTAATGATCCCTCCCCTGTAGTTCAGGTAACACATCGTGAAGTGATAATTTGCTAGGATTCCTGAGGTTATAATAACATAATGCTAATTGTGTATCTTATGCGTTGAAGGATGACATCAATTTGTTTGATTATAATGTTCCGGATCGAGTAAATGACTTCGTTGCTGCTGCCATATGGCAGGTAATTTCTAGTGTCTTCATTTTTCTGACGCTTCATACTGCTACACTAGCTTTTAGGTGCGAAAATGAGGTTTTCCCTTTGTCAAATGAAGGATATTATATAATTTTCCTTTCCACAATCAAAATTAGAAGTTAGTACTCTGTTCCTAATGGTACTTTGCCTCGAGGACTGACATGAGTAAAGTTTCTGCCATTCAGGCGAACATTACTCGAGGAAACCATGTTATGTTTACTATGGGAACAGATTTCAAGTATCAGTATGCAAACTCTTGGTTTCGCCAGATGGACAAGCTGATTCACTATGTGAACATGGTAATCTTTATATAATTTCCTTTTAATTCAGTTTAATCACTAATCACTGTTTTAATTCATGCTATCCATGTCTCGTGTGATTCCTCTCCTTTGAGGACTTACTTTTATGGAAATCTTCCATCAGTATATAATGTTGAGGGATTTTGCATCTCTGCTTTATAATATTACATTACTCATGCTGTTCATTTTTGGTTTTGCTACTAATAGGATGGACGTGTAAATGTTCTCTACTCTACCCCATCCATATATACTGATGCCAAGCATTCTGCAAATGAGGCATGGCCACTAAAGACCGAAGACTTTTTCCCGTGAGTACAAACTTGACTCAAATCACATTATAATGATGCTTCCTAACTTAGAGCATCTCTAATTAATAATAAAAATTAAATCATTACAGCTATGCAGACCGTGCAAATGGTTTCTGGACAGGATACTTTACGAGTCGACCAGCCTTGAAACGCTATGTCAGAGTGATGAGTGGCTATTACTTGGTACCTCAACAGAATCCTTTAAATTGTTAGGATAAATTTTATCCAAGTCATAAGCTCATGCTTCTACTTCGAATCAGGCTGCAAGGCAACTAGAGTTTTTCAATGGAAAGAGTAAGCTTGGTCCTAAGACCGACTTATTGGCAGATGCACTAGCAATTGCCCAGCATCATGATGCTGTTGCTGGGACAGAAAAGCAACATGTAGCTAATGATTATGCCACACGGCTTGCAATTGGGTACAAAGAGGTAAAGTTTTGATTTCTTAAATGGTGTTTTGATTTACGCCCCAGGAAATGTTTAAATTGCAGCTGTCATTTTTCACTTAATCTTCATTCTATTTAGTTGACACCCATTTGTTCTTTTTCTTATGCAGGCAGAAAAGGTAGTTGCAACTTCACTCAGTTGCTTGTTCGAATCCCAGTCTCGTACAGGATGTCAGAGCCCAACCATTAAATTTGAAGAGGTAATTCTTCATCGTTAAGCTTGAGCCGCTTAAATTCCAGCTGCTACTTACTAGCAGGAATGAGTCATAGTGTTCATTTCCCGTCATCCTTTATAATTTTATATGATGGACCGGACAAAAATAGTTATGTTTCACTGTTATACTGTTATACTTACCAATTCTGCGTTATTCTTATTCTTTGAGGGATATATCAGACTAGCATATTTCATCTTCATCTTGTAGCTACAATCTTCGAGCTGTTCTCGATGATCCTTACATAACATTGATTATGAGGTTCAAATTTTGATCCTAACACTTGACTTAAAAAATAAAAAATCTGCATGCTTGATAGTTGATACACTTGCTATACTACAGTCTTATGTTCCTTTTTTCATTCCTCCCTCATCCTCCATGCAGTGCCCCCTTCTGAATATAAGTTACTGCCCTGCGGCCGAGAACACCCCTCTTGGAAAGAAGTTGGTAAGGACTTCTTATCCCACTGTTATATATCCGGAATCGACCTGCTATTTCTTATTCCACATTGGAATCTTATACTGTTGCTCTGATTGAAGGTGGTTGTTGTCTACAATTCTCTTGGTTGGTTAAGAGATGAAGTGATCAACATACCGGTGTGTAATTCCTACTCATCTGTTCCTTGTTTCCTTGAGCTGTTGTTTGTGTTTGAATTCTTCTGATACTGTCACCAGTGCTTTGTACTGGCTTTAAACAACCCTTAGCTAATAGAGCCTACGACAAATTCAACATATACTTACGTTATCATCTGACACTATTATTTTGTACTTCTCCTAATAAGTATAGCAATTCAATTGTCACCTAAAAGATTTTAAATTTTTTTGTAGGTTACTAACGATAACGTAATTGTGCGTAATCCCGAGGGAAAAGAAGTGGAAGCTCAACTCATTCCTGTGGTGGATGCCTATCTAAGCTTGAGGAACTTCCATGTTCAGGCATACCTTGGTACAAAACCAGCAAAAACACCTAAATATTGGCTTGCATTCAGGGTCTCTGTCCCACCTTTTGGTTTCAGCACATACACAATCTCCGACGCCAAAATTGCAGGTCAGTTTAGGCAATCATCTAGCATTTTCAAGACAAAGGAGGTGGACAGAACATATGGGCATTCATTTTCTTTTTGTTGACTCTAATTGCCGCCTGAACCAAGTCAATTGAAATGTCAGGTGCTCACTCAACTAATCCATCTGTATACAAATCCAAAAGAAGCCTGAAATCTGCAACTGAAGTGGGGCAGGGAAATTTGAAACTCAGTCGTTCAGCTTTTGGTGGGAAGCCAACTAGTTACACTAATAGTAGGAACTCAGTATGTATTTCACTTGACGAGTCTGTTTAATCTTTATTGTCATGAATCATGTTGCCCTTCTTAGTTTTTATTCAAATTTATCTTAGTGTGGTGATATGAGATAATTTATGCATCTAATCGAATGCATTTCTTTCTAAATTATGAAGGTGAAGGAGCAGGTCTATCAGACCTTTAGTTTCTACGGTGGATATAATGGAACCAACGACAAAAGCCCTCAAGTATACATACTTTTGAGCCATATGTCTACAAATTCCATGAACTTTGACTCAGAGCATCAGACCATACTCATTTTGAAGCGAACATCTTATGTATTTTGTACTTTTTCTCTGTTTTTCTTTCACTTTCTCTCAGAATGGCGGGGCATACATCTTTCGACCAAATGGGACATATCCCTTAGAACCTGAAAAGCAGGTTTGCAGGTCCTTCTGATATTTTGGGTTTCTGTGAAATATACAATCCTGCCAATGACCAATCCTGAATTTTTATCCAAACTTTCAGGTTCCGCTGGCCGTCATTCGTGGGCCGGTGGTAGAGGAAATTCACGAACAGATCAATCAATGGATATATCAGGTTGCTTTCTTGTTGGATGGTTTTCTTGCCAATTACTTGCATCGCGTTTTTCTATGCTTAAGTACCTGGTTTACTTCTGTTCAACAATGAAATTCATTCACCGAAAAAAACAATGAAATTGTTCCCCAGGAGAGAAAAAGAACAATGATATGACAACTTTTAAAAAGTATGTCAATCAAAATGAATCAAGTTATAATTTCTAGTAAATTGGGTTCTCATTAAACTTCATTTGAGAATCCCTCTGCTCTTACTCATTGAAGTTGTATGTGATGACCATGGCTTCAGGTTACGAGACTATACAAAGGAAGTGAGCATGTTGAAGTGGAGTTTATAGTAAGTTTGGATTGCATCTCACATTTTGAATCTATTTGGGAACAAGAGTTAGATCTTTCTGCCACATCACTTTATCCTTCTAATCATACTACAACTACAATGCTAGGTCGGCCCGGTACCCATTGATGATGGAATCGGGAAAGAAGTTGTAACTCAGATAACAACTTCCATGAAAACCAATGGAACATTCTACACAGACTCAAATGGACGTGACTTTATCAAAAGGGTAATGAGAATCTTTATCTAACTCAGATCATCACCTTCTGAAGTTGAGAATCGAGACTGGTTCATTGTTGCAATCTTTATCTAAGCATCAAGCAAACTGAATGAATTTCCTCCACAGATTCGTGATTATAGAACAGATTGGAACCTGGAAGTGACTGAACCAGTTGCTGGAAATTATTATCCGGTATGTTTCACTTAGAGAAGAAAGACATGCTTTCAGTTAATTGCACCCAGACTAATTTACTTCCTTTCCAATTTGTCCATTCATTCAGCTTAATCTTGGAATTTATGCCAAAGACGACAAAAAAGAACTTTCAGTTCTTGTGGATCGAGCTCTTGGAGGAGGTAGCATAAAGGACGGACAAATAGAACTGCTACTCCATAGGTTTAGTTTCCATGGCTCCTTTCACTCTTTCATGGATGTTATCCCTCTATAATTCTACTATTAGGGTCATGAAATTTGAACCTTCAACTCTACTACATCAATGGTTGATGATATTTGGTATTTTTATGACCATGCAGGAGACTTCTACTCGATGATTCCAGAGGTGTTGATGAGGCACTTAATGAAACAGTTTGTGTTCATAACAAGTGCATGGGATTAACGGTAAAACTTTCAGTTCAAAGCCTTGTATGAAGCTTGTTGCTGACTTGATCTCGGTTTCTAGTAACGATATCCAATATAAGCAACAGAGCTCCTGAGTATTTTCATGAAAGGCCAATTCTGCTCTGTGGCAACGGTTAGTTTTCACTCTTAATGTGACTAAAGAATCAGTCATCCTTTTGTGGTGTTGCAGATCCAAGGAAAATACTATTACCGAATCGACCCCGTAGGAGAAGGTGCTAAGTGGCGCCGATCATTTGGCCAGCAGATATATTCACCTTTGCTGCTAGCCTTTGCAGAAGAGGTGGATATTTAACGAAACTATGACTAGCATATGAATGAATATGAATAAGTTAGTAACCTGAGACATTTCCCTTTTCTCGTTCCAGGATGGAGATAAGTCCACAAACTCTCACGTAGCCACCTTTTCGGGCTTTGCTCCCTCCTACAGTTTACCTGATAATGTTGCTGTCATAACCCTCCAGGTAACCGGTAATTGAAAAAGCACCATTTCCTGTTTCTTTCTGATATTTAAGCTGACCAATTTGTCATCTTTTTGCATCTTTCGACAATGTGCAGGAACTAGATGATGGGAAGGTGCTTCTTCGATTAGCCCATCTATACGAGGTTTGCCACTCCCCCACTCTTCTATGCTGACATTTGCATACGCTTTTCCTTTCATGAAGCGATTGAATAGAATATACCAACATGATTCACTGTCTAATGTTTGAGTTGGTTTCACCTGTAAAAAAGGTTGGAGAGGACAAGGATCTTTCAGTCAAGACAACTGTAGAACTAATGAAATTATTCCCGGGAAAGAAGGTGAGCCCAGCTAGCTGCATGCATCATGTACCATTTTCCGTCTTCTGTTCTCTATCTTGCATTATATATTGTATCATGTGTGGTTCCAGATAGGGCAGGTGGTCGAAACGAGCTTGTCTGCCAACCAAGAAAGGTCGGAGATGGAGAAGAGGAGGCTTGTGTGGAAAGCGGAGGGATCATCATCAGATGAAACAGCGAGAAGGGGCAGGCCAATCGATTATACGAAGCTGGAGGTGGAGTTGCTGCCGATGGAAATTCGAACGTTTCTCATAGACATGGTTGCCGATACCCTGAAGGCCACGGTTCTATGAAGTGTTTAGATTGTGGAGAAGTTGAGAGAGATGAAATGAGAGGGCTTTCTTGTGACATGATACGGATTCAATCAATCCACCTGTATTTTATGGCTTAGCTTCAGCAGAAAACGGAGAGAAAAAATAAAATTTGTCTGCTTTGATCTCTGCCTTACGTTTGCAACAAAAGAGAAGAGGAGAGAACATAGGCTCTAGTAAGAATGAGAACCCAGTGGTGGCTAGCATTTCGAAACGTTTCGAGGTGTCAAAACTAAAAACGAATGTGAGAAATTGTCGCGATATACTGTCTGAAATGTGAATAAGGAATAAGGACCCATAAATAAAAGCGAAAATGCAGAAAATTGTACCAAAATGTACAAAAGAAATAGGGGAAAAACATACACATTAAAATAGAGAACATAAATATATGTGATTAATCAAAACAAGTGGAAGGACCGAAGGAGAATTAGAAAATGTTATACATAAAAACATTTCCTGGCCAAAAGAAAAGCACCGAGACCAACAGCATAGGAACATCGTCCAAAGATTGCTTGCTGTTTGGAGCAGTGACAAGGGCTTCCTAAACCTGCAGTTTTCTCCATTGAGCCACCTAGTCGAGCTCTGATATCGACTAGATACTGATAGTAGGCTCGCTTTATACGCCATCAACTAATCACATTTACTCAGGAAACAGAAAAGGAAGGCATATGAGCTAACCTCTAATTATATGGATTGATCTTTGATTGAGTATCGATCGGTTTGGCCAATGGTTAAAAATTAGGATTAGTGATGAAGTGATGGAAGCGATCAAGTGATGAAGCAGGACTGTAATTTCACAAGGCGAGAGTATGTGCCATTCTTCAGCAGGAGTTCCTTGTGCCCACCCATCTGGCAACATGAGAGATTAACTATCAATAGTGCACATGATTATAAATTTAGTAGATAAACTAGAGGCCAGACTACATTAATCGACAATGGTACATATTGAGTTTAATTAATGGTAATTGAGTTAAATCAAATTACCTCTACGATTCGACCACCATCCATCACAACAATCCTGTCTGCAGATTCCACTGTAGAAAGCCTGCACGTTTTCAGGGTCTCAAGAACTTTAAGCAGTGTTCAAACATGAGTTAACTGAACTACATCCATATGGTGATAATGGCAGAGAGTTGATTAGAGACAGACCTGTGTGCTATCACAATTACTGTTGTTTCCGACATAACTCCGTCATTTTTACATGCATCAACGATTCCTTTCACGAAATTTTCGGTTTGTGAGTCTAAAGCACTGGTGGCTTCATCCAGGATGAGAATGGAAGGCTTCCTGATAATAGCCCTGGCAATGGCAATGCGCTGCTTCTGTCCCCCACTCAGGCTATTGTCATTCACCATGGTCTCATAACCATTTGGAAGAGACAGAATGAAGTCATGGGCACACGCAAGCTTAGCAGCCCGTTCGACTTCTTCTTCTTTGATTTCCCGACCGCAGCTACCATATGTGATGTTTGACTTCACATCCATGTGGAAAAGCTTTGGCTCCTGCCCACAATTAATATTTATGGCTTTCAGTAACTTTTTCTCACAAAATGTTAATCAGTTTCGTAACACTCTGCTGAATCCCTTTTTTGGTTGTTCGAATTTTGAAAATGCAGCATGTATAAGCTAGGACTTTACCTGTCCAACATATCCAATGTTTTCTCTAAGCCATCTGATGTCCAGTTCGGTGAGTGGAAACTCATCAATGTAGATCTGACCGTTACTTGGTTCATAGAGACGAAGCAAGAGATTGACCAGAGTGGTTTTTCCGCTACCACTTGGTCCAACCTTGCCAAACCATGGATGCAAACTATTAGTTTTTTTTTTTTTTTTTCAAGATGCCTTGCTTCGTAGCTATGGATTTGGGGAAGGATAAAGGATACAAAAAGAACGATTACTTACCAATGCAATGACTTCATTAGCTTTTACCGAGAGGTGGAAATTTTCCAAAATTGGTATCTGTTCAAGAATAAAAAACGCATCATATAAGCACCGAATGTGCTCTTCCGGAGCAGACATGTGAGTTATCTTGGACTGCTTTACATCTTCTATTCACCAAGAGATTAAAATAGAGACTCAAGGCTGAAGAACTAATTGACTAATCACTGTTGACAACCCATATCTTTTCCACATTTGTTGATAACTAAGACGAGAATTAACATCCCGTTACTGGACCAGACTTACTGTTGGCCTTGAAGGATAGATGAAGGAGACATCAACAAACTGGACTTGTCCAATCAGCCTTTCCAATCTTTCCCCTGCAACATCAGTTGAATGAAATCAAGCAACGCTGGTGATATCAGAACCAAGAAACTGGACAAAAAGTATGGTTTCCCTTAGGAAGTTGTATACAATGCATAGAGTGATTATCGGTGAGCATTGAGCGCATGTGATGTTCCTAAACTAGCAAAGATCAAATGAATATAAAAATCCTAGATTTCTGACAATCCATGCCAGAATACAGTTTCCGTTCGTTTATCAATAAGTTTGTCAAACAAAATTCACAGTTGAGTTCTTTTATTCAACTTGTAGCAACCATGGGACAATCAACTTTGTATCAAGTTCTTGGATGAATGGATCTCAAAACAAGTATTCAAATGGTTGATCAGTTTACCTTTGGACTCCAATTGGTCACTTTGTGACAGTTGCATCAAATGGAACACTCTTTCACTTGATCCAACCGCCCGTAACAATGCGGTTGTATTATCTACAACCCTCCAAGTTGCATATATCAACCACTCGCAATACAACACATACTTGGTTAGTTGCTCAGTTGAAACACGGCCAGCCATAATGGACATCCCTCCCAACATCAGTGCAAACACCTGTCAGTACAACTAACAAGATGGGTCAGAAAAAGATAATACAGACATCTGCACACTTACTGTGTGCATCAGCGCCTAAATAATATAAATTAGTTTTCCATGCTTGAAGTATAGACTGAAAGAGACTGTTCGTCAATAACAGAATACAAAACAGTATATCATTGATTCCTTACAGAATGTATTTATTTAACAAAACGCCTCCTTCAAGTGATGATGGAACAATTGCTTTCATGCAAGGAAGAAAGTAGAAGGGGCTAAACGAGAGAAAAACAGCTAATGATAGGATCCATTCTGATGGCTACAAAAATCTTTTTTGAGTTGAAATTGATCTGACCTGTGTTGCACGGAAAAGGGTGCTGAAACTCATATTCCAGAATCCATAAGCCACACTTTCTCTTAGACTTAGAGAAGCTAACTTTTCCAGCCAATGCCTGTACCTGCAGCCATAAAAAACAGGGGGGGAAATGTGAGAGAAGTAGGATCTAATCATCTATAATCGGAATGAAATGACAATTAACAACTACGGATATACTCATTGACTTATGATTGCCTTCCTAGTTCTTCGCATTCTGTTCCGTAGACTCGAATAGTTCGAATTGAAGACAGGGTTTCGTCTGCTGCCTATACCAAGGGTAGAAATTTCGCTAAGAAATCATCATAAGCTTTGACATTTTTTCCTAAATTAGTAAGAATGAGCTTTTTACCTTACTGGCAGAGGAAGCGAGATCTTGAGTTAGCTTGGCAGCTTCCTTCTGGTACCTATGACAGAACAGATTTGTTCAAGTTTGAACGTAGAGAGAGGAGTTCAAGTAGAAAGGGTGATAGACAGCCTTCTTCAACACATCTCCAATAACTTGTTACATTGTAAGGTATAGGAATACCAACCGGCCATAAAGTAGAAAGATAGTGGCGAGAACTAAACATGTGATAATTGATGACAATGCAAGAGGCCAAGCTAGAATCAGCAAATTGATCAATGCACCTACCCCCTTCATAATCAAAAGAAGACATTATATAAATCATTCTACATTTGGAAGTAAGGGAGAAGAATCCAATGCCAAAACCCAACCTGAAATGTATTGCGAACTATCAAGTGGATATTATTCCCAATGACATTAGAAAGCTGTTGACAATCTGCCCCTAGCCTGCTTGTCAATCCACCAACTTTCTCTCTATCGAAAAATGGCATGTCCTACTTCATAAAATAGACGAGTAAAACATTTGCCAAGGATATAATGTCACGGTTTTCAGGAGTTAATCCGAATATAGACCTGGGATATTAGAGCTGAATATAGAGCTTGTCTGAGGCGTTTGACCTGCAAAATGAAACTTTGGGATAAGCAGAAGCTCTACAAGAGGAAACTTGAAGCTCAAGCTCCTTACCAGGATAACATTTGCCATTGCAAAAAGGCCACTTCGCAAGCCACTTCAATCACCAAAAACAAGGCGGAGAGACAATAAACAAGGCTGTGCGCTGTAATGGAGATGGAACTTGATACCATCAAAAGGACTAAAAGGAAGAAAACTTGCTCAGTGAACCTGCTTATTCCTGAAGTGAAGCACAAAACAAGCAAGAACCGTGATTTACTGTAGAAGACCGTCTTATCTCCATGCTGTGCAGAGAAGATGGAAGATGCCAAGATACTCGGCATTGTTATCTCGGATGCCTGCATCGCGGGAAAAAAGAACGTCAAAGCGGCATACTTACGAACACCATGAGGTCAAGAAGAAAAAAGAAACAGGAAATTCTTAAGAATCTCACAGCAGCAGTGACTAAAGCTCCGAAGGCAACGACAACAATCCATTGCTCCTTCCCTAGAAGCTCCCACATTCTCTGAAGCACAGCCAACACGGTAACTTCATTCGCCGCCGGGCCGCCTTCTTCGTTATCCGGCAGTCTCCACCAACTGCCCCCGGTAAGAATCGAAAGCAGCAATTCAAATGGATTCCGCGAATTATTCGAGAAATTCTCTTCATATTTCGTCTCTTCGCAGGTTAGCGAACTAAATGCCTGTCGCCGGAATTCCAAGCCGCGATATCGAGTAATTCTACGAGATGTTGAAGGAAAATGAACCTTGAAATGAGACTCACTAATGGCAGCGACGGTTACAGTTCTCCGAGCCGAATTGGAGGGAAGAAATATCAGTTGAAGATTCAGGCGAGAGGCCGCCATTGAAGCCAACGATTCCCACTTGTCAGTTGTCTTGAGAAAGAATCCCGCGAAAAGGAAAGATAAAGAAAAGGTAGAAATAGAGAAATAAAGCTTCACAGGATGCTGTCACGTGTGAAAGTCATACTTTGAGTAGCAAAATTTACAACGATCCAACGGCTGTGGGTAACTCCGGCTCGTCTCCTTGTTCTTTTGAGTACTGGATCGTCGTTGGCCCTCGTCGATGGCGGCGGAGATCGGTGCCTAAGTTTTACATTACTTGAGACTTCGAAGATTTTTCTAATGGCGGAGGTTGAGAAGAAGGAGGTTGCCGCCGCGACTCCTCCATGGAAGCCGAAACCGAGACCAATTGTGCGCCTAGGGATCGTCCTCATCTCGCATAGCCTTCTGGTTAGGTATTTCACCACTGAGCTATTCATCCCCCTACTCAATGGATCACTGCTGAATCATTTTGAATTTGAAATTTGTTCCTTCGTTCTTGTTGGTTGATGGAATTCCAGTGTTGTTTGCTGTACTGCTGGGGTTGTAGCGCTATTCTTGCTGCCTATGCTCGCCAAGAACACTTACATTTCCGAAAATGCGCTCATGCCAGGTCTGCCCTGAACTTCCCTTTGCTCAATTTAGCATGAACCGGTTTGATTGTTCTGTTTCCATGGCTCTAATTCGTCTGCAATTCTATCTTCCTGGTGAAATTGAAGGTTCTGCGAGTAGTATGCTCTCTAACGACGACATTTCCGAAGCAGAACGATTGGCTAAGGATCTAACTAGCTTAAATTCTGGAGCTGCGGATGCAGGCATGTATGTGATAGGCTTACTTCCATGTCATTGTTCATCTGTATGCATCCTATAATCTGGCATAAGAGTAGAATTCTGATTTCTTGTTTGATTTTCCCTTGCACTGAACTTTACTTTAGAGAAAGGAGAAGGGTACTAGCAAAATATTTATCGGACTTGGGAGTTGAAGTAGGTTATCATAAGTTCGAGCCGCACCAGAATCAGTTTCATCCTCTGCACTTCTTCTCCAGTCCTGATTCTGGGCTATCACGGGAGAACGGTAGCTGTTCATCGTATGGTATAAATGTTGTCGGAATCATAAGGGCACCACAAGCTGATGGCAAAGAAGCTATTGTATTGGTAACACCTTTCAATTTCAGAAAGAACAGTTCATCTGAAGCTTTATCCATTAGCATTGGATATGCAGTCTTCTCATTGCTAAGTCGAGTTACATGGCTGGCCAAGGATATCATTTGGCTTGTTGCAGACTCACAGTATGGAGAATATGCCTCTGTTGCTTCTTGGCTGAGAGACTATCACATACCCGTATTTTCTGCTTCATCTTCGCACAATGCTGATTCATGTTTTGAAGGAAACAACATTAATTTATTAAGAGAGGAATCTCTTGATCGAACGGAGATATCTAGTGGGTTTAGGCGTGCTGGGACTATGGCTGCTGCCTTAGTTTTAAAGGTCACTGATGTAAAAGGGCAGTTGGAGGACACTCTCAGTGTCTATGCTGAGGCTTCCAATGGGCAGATGCCAAACCTAGATCTTATCAATGTTGTGAATTATTTAGCTGTACATCGACAAGGATTGCGCGTCAAAGTTGAGAAATTTCTCTCTGTTCTTAGATGGGAATGGATTTGGGTGTTGGGAGATACGCTTAACTTTATTGGTAAAGTCGCAGGAAGCTTAAATCCAGAATGGAAATTTGGTATTTCAACACCGGACTACGTTGAGGGCACCGCTACACTTGCAAATTCATTATATCGCCAGGTGCTTTTCTTCACTTGATTCTGTAACATTCATCTTAACGGTCTTCTCATCTTCTTCCAGATACTTATGTTAACTTTTTGGAATAACTTCTGGTTCCAGGCACTTGGGATCCCGACAGGTCCACATGGAGCTTTCCGTGATTTCCAGGTTGATGCCATAACTTTGGAGATTTCGCCCAAGGTTGTTTACACAAACCAGGGCAGACGTAATGAGTTTATTCTGCGTAGTGCACGGTATGCATTTCACTTACAGCAATTGTGACTCTTTCAAGCACAAAACTGCTGTCTGCAAATTGTATATTCTGTTATTCAAATGATTAATTGTGTTGTTGAGTTAGTTATATCTTTGAATAGCATGTTTTTGCTTAGGCCTTTATTTCGCAATGCAGGTTGATTGAAGGAGTTGTGCGTTCGGTCAACAATCTTCTCGAGAAGTTCCATCAATCATTCTTCCTCTACCTCTTGACCTCTCCTGCTAAATTTGTCTCAGTTGGAGTCTACATGATTGGTTTTGCTCTCCTTGTGGCACCACTGCCGCTTGTTGCTGCTTCCCTGTATGTTGATGCCAATAAGCCAGACCCTAGCTCCCAAGGTCCCAAACATAAGCTTCAAATTAATTTCAAACCATGGAAATGGCTGAGTGCAGCAAAACAAGTATTCACTGTTCATGCATGGGGTGTATTTGTCTCACTCCTACCCTATTTCATCTCTCAAATACCCAATTCCACTCCAGCAGCCCACTCCATCATCTGGTTCTCTCTCTCAACATTCGGACTCCTGGTCCTATATCTCATTACAAAATCTCATTCTAAACCTCAGAAGGGTGAATGGGAGAACCTGAAATCAGTGACCATATCAGTGGTGTTCATTGGCTTGCTTCTAATGTCTGTTGTCAACTTTGCCACAGCACAGATCGGGGCATTGGTATTAGTTCCTGCTTGTTTGCTTGCCCAGCCTCTGAAGCTCGACATAAGAGATGCGAGCTTGAAGAGTTTCTTGAGGATTGCTTGCAACGTGTTCATCAGTTTCGTCGCTTTCCCTCCTGTGGGATTTTTCGTCTTGAAAGGTGTCAACGAAGGCTTTGGTGATATGGACGTTGGGGAGTTTTGGACCTGGCTGGAGTCCCTTTGGGCGTGGAACAGTGCTACCTACATCTACATAGGTATGGTTCATCTCCCGTGTTGGGTTTTATGCTTGCACATTTTGCTTCATTCCTGTTGATCAAAAACTGATACATAGATAACATGGACCGACCTTCCTGTAGTTTGGTGATGATGATGTATGCATTGACTCTCTTTTCTTGATTTTAATACAATCTTCCCGATTAGAACAATGGAAAGTTGGCTTTCGTATATTTGGTGATGAATGATTGGGGCAACCAACTTGATCATTGGACGGTATCAAATGATCATTGGTCTAGCAGTAGTAGTGAGTAGTGACAACATGGTGACCTTGAGTCATAACCCACGAAACAAGGCCACCTGAACTTCATCAACAAACTTGAGCTGGCAAAATCTTGTTCAACTCTTTGTTTTCCATCTGGTAAGAAGCCACGTTATGGTTGTAATGTGGTTGCTTGTTAGTTGAGATTTCATCTAGGATAGTGAAGTGAATCCTTTCTATTGAGAGACCGTGTAGGCAAATAATGAGAAGTCTTTCCCACAGTAGCAATGCACAAGAATCTTGATCCCCCTTTAGTTACTTGATGAAGTACTGTTGCTTTGTTGGATTGCTTGAAGCTAAGTGTTAAAGTTGGCCATTTTGCTTGCTCTCAACATTCAAATCAGGTTAATGTTAAACTATGTTCGATTGATGGAGACCAGCTGCCTTACTTGACGTTGATTCTTCTTCTTCTTCTTCTTCTTCTTCTTCTTCTTCTTCTTCTTCTTCTTCTTCTTTCAACTGTCCCCACTCGAGATGTTTAATCTGCTTGTCTCCTTTGTGGTTTTGGTTGCTAAAGTGTTGCTCATTTAGGTCCGTTGAAAGTGGGATAGAAAGATGGTGACCGATACTGAGAAGTGACACAAAAATAAACAGTTGAATAGCCCTGTAAACCGTAAGACTGGTCATTTAGCTAAAAACACCTATGCTTATTATGTGTTTAACTAAGGATGGCAAAATTGCCTAGATACCTGCCGAATCCGACTCGATAGAATAAGATAAAAGGCAAATTAAATAAATAATATGTGGATATCAATAAGATATGAACACGAAAGTTATAAGTAATGGGCAGAATGAGTTCGATTATATATGTATTTTTCCAAAATTCTTCATACTCCCTCCTCAGTATATTCAACACTTGCATTACATATGCTTATGAATTAGTGCTCTTTTTTTTCTCTTTATATAGGTAATTTTATAAATATATATTTTTTATGTCTGTAATGTCATTGTACGTGTGTAATTGGTAACGCTCTAGTTGGGATGATATAGAGAAAACTCTCATTCGTGGATATCCACGGCTACCTGAAATTCGAACAGGTGTGGACATGGTTTGTATTTACTACTAGAACCTTGTGTGAATATGAGTATGAATAAAAACCGAGGTGGGTAGGGTAACAAATATCCACCATCTATCCCCAATCTGACTCGTTTTCATCCATGGGTTTAACACTTTGTTTCTATAGGGATTAGATCCATTTAAAAATAACGATGTGGATTCACTCTTATTGTGCCACCGTTGATACGATCTCTTCGGGTTTGGAAGGAACATGTGGAGAAGAGAACATGTTTGGTTTATCTATACTTTGATACTCAAGTCATTCATTGTTGAATGAATATTGTGTATGGAAAGTAAAGAAAATAGTGTTTAGAGAGATGCGCGAAATGTATGCAATGAGGGAACTTGGGTGCGAAAGTTTGGTCCTTGATTTAGATTTTCATGGACGTCGCAAGCTCAATCCAACCGGCTCGGACCCAAAGCTCTTTGATGACATTTTTATAACAACAAATTTCAAAACAGGAGATGGAATAATAATGGTCTACTAGAACACATCAAACAAGAGACCAAGGCCACTAGAATAATTAAGAGGACGAAATGGACACAAACCAACCCCACTAGAAAATAATAAACATAAGCATTGATAGGAAAAAAGTAAGCCATTATGCCAAAGTGAGGATGCCAAGAAGATGACTTCACTGGCTTGTAGCATAATACTAGCCTGCCATTGTTGAACCTACATACAAAGTTGATCCCCCCTTCTAATTTGCAAAAGATTATTACTATGATATTCTTTAAAGGAGTTTGCATTAAGATTATTCTCATTGGACTTTGTCCCATTAGTTAGGTGGATGTTAATGAATGAGATTCTGAACTAAGCCAAATTCGAAAATTTTAACTTATCACTTGAACTCGAAGAAGTAAAAACTCGGATTTTTTTATAAATCTACCCTTCAACTACTTTTGTATTTGCCTTTACTCACTCTGATAAACAAATTTTCAGTACTTTTTTCCATAAATTCTCTAGTATGGTCGAAAGAATAGAGATACAAATTTTAAGAGAATGAAAGAATCAAGAAAAAATCCTATCAAATTAACCATATGCATTAAGGAGGTTTTCATGTCGGCTGATAGGCAAGTGCGAAAAATTAGTTTCAACTTCTTTATGCATTGCTTCAAGTCAATGCTTACAATGCATATTCACGATGCCTCATATGTCGACAATATACTTAAAAATAATTATCGATCCAACCAAGTTCAAATCGAATTTTGGTTATAATGTTGGTAACGTCTTTATAATCACGAGTGACATCTTTCTGCGACAGCCACATGGGGAAAAGTAAATTCAAATTATCCAATCAGAAGAGTATACATTTGTGAATGATGATAACGAAACCCATCTGCATGCCAACCGGAGTCGAGGGAAATAGTCCTACCTACTTATCTCCAACCACCACAAACACAACACCGCCCGCCGTCAGCACAATACACAAAACATTTTCTGTTTTTACCTACAACAGTTATCGTTATCGCGCAGTGAAAGCCTCGGAGAAGAATGAGAAGGAATAAACGTTTCCTTCACTCGTTTTGTAAGAGGGTGGATTGCACGCACCATCCTCCCATCATAGGACATAGGCGGTACGATTCAAGAAGAAGAAAGGCAAATCCTTTGAAAATTTCATTCACATCTCTCTCTCTATCTCATGGTAGCGGCAGCTCAACTTCATCCTCTCTGGCTTTCTGTCCTCCCAAAAAATGCTACAAAACCCAGTACCCAAGTGGCCAAATCAGCACATCCATCACCAATTCACCATAACTCTATTTTCTGAGTAGAGGCACAGAAAATACCAGAATTCTGTGGCTTTCCTTTGTTTTCTCCCTTTTGGTCAATCAAAAGCCATGGATGAGCTGCTCTGTGACGAACTGCTCCAAGAAATCTTCACCAGAATTCCATCAGCCCCACCTCCATCGATTCCTCTGGTTTCAAAGCGGTGGCTCTGCCTCTACAGAGCTTCAAAAACCTCCCTATCCCTTAGAATCACTCTCGATCACCACCAGCACCAGAACGCCAATTCCTCCGCCGCCGCCGCCGCTCTCTTCCGGTCCTTCTCTTCCTTTCTCTCCCACTACCCTTTCCTCTCTTCCCTCTCCCTCCTCCTCAACGACCTTTCTTGCCCTCGCTCTCCAAGCTTCAACGATCGCCTTCTATTTCTAATTTCCTCTCTCTGCTTGAAGCTCAAGCAGCTCAAATTCCTCCCCTACCCTGTCTCTGTAATTTCCCTTCGTTCCCTCTCCCATTCCTGCACCCTCCTCACTTCCCTCACGGTTTCCCTCTCAAGACCGCTGCTTCTCCACTGGGTCGCCTGGTTTGCTTCCTTGAAGGAATTATCCGTCTCTGTCTGCGATGGCGACGAAAGGGGAATTGGGTTTTCTTTGGATGAAGGAAAAGATTCCGAATTGGGATTGGAGAGCGTCTCTTTCGCAGGAATTGGAAGAGACGATTCTGGGCTAGGGTTTCTATGGAGGAGCTGCAAGAAGCTAAAGAAATTAAGCCTCAAAAGCTGCGAAGGTATTGGAGATGGCGGTTCCTTTTCCTCGTTTACCCACTGTTTGATTCATTTACAAGAATTAGAGCTGAGAACTTGTAGAAATATAGCCGACGGAGTCCTCTTAAGACTAGCTGAACACTCCACCTCCTTGAATTCCTTACTCGTTTATGATGGTGGGAGCAGAGATGGATTGCTTAATTTCATCACCAACTCGAAATGCCAAGTCTCGAACCTTGACTTCCGCCTTCCTCTGGACCTAAGCAACGACCATCTCTCAGCAGTGGCCACAAACTTCAGGTGTCTCAAATCTCTGAGACTACAGAGTTGCTGCCTTGTCTCAGGTGAAGGCCTGAAAGCTCTAGGGATCGCCATGAGCTCGGGCCTCGAGGAACTGGCCTTGATCAACTGCGATGTGGTCGAGAGGGAATCCGGTTTGCTTGCCACATTGGGGCAGAACTTGAAGCAGCTGAGGAAGCTGGATTTGTCGTATAACGAGTACCTGTTCGATAAGGAGTTCATTGGCATGCTGGCCTCTTGCTGCAATTTGGTTGATCTCAAGATAAGAGGTTGCAGGGGGTTGACTGGTCTGGCCATGGTGGCTGTCTCCAGGAGCTGTAAGAAGTTGGAGCGTGTTGATGTTGTGCACTGCAGTGGGATCACAGCTGATGGTGTAGAGACCTTGGTGGTGAAATCTTCGAGATTAAGACGAGTTCAAGTCGAGGAGACCAAGGTTTCGGATGTTGCGAGGGGATGGGCGAATAGGAGGTTCATCGAGGTTTCGGCTTGATTCACCATGGCTGCTGCTGGATTTCAAACATTGGTATGGATTTATGTACATGTATGTACAAAAGAAAGCAGAAGCTGTTATTCATATATACCACATTGGTTTGTTGTAAATGTTGTTTGATACTTTGATTGCTGTCTATTTGAGAGGTGAAAACACCCATGTCTGAATAATGTGGTATGTACTTTGTATAGAATGATTCATGGATTCCTGAGACTGAGACTGAGAATTCAAAGATTGGCAGTTGGAAAATTGATTTCTTTTGTCTTCTTGGTCCTTTGATTTCAACACCTGAGTACTGGTTTGCTTCTGAGTTCTGAATTCTGATTGTCAAATGCCAAGTTTGGATACTCTTCGTTTCTATGGGCTATGGGGTCTAGGTGGAATTGGGCCCCGATATTCATGGGTCATGAGGCCTCACTGGTATAACAAAACGAGAGGGCGTGAAAATGGGCTTCTTAGTCTGTGGCAATATTTTGCTGTGAGTGAGGCCAAAGCCCATCTAACTGAACTGGTCAAGTCCTGAAGGCCATTGGACTTCTTTCAGGCTAATTCAAAGACCAACGTACAAAAACAAACAAAAATACAAAAATTTGATGATGGATATATTGAATCAATTTATCTAAAACGTGACCAACAAATCAGCGAATCTACTAAGAAAAATTCTACGAATCGCTGACAAGAAAAACAATGAACCACAAAAAATCAATTGTTTATACGGCAATCGCAACTACATGAGTATTTCTTTCGCCATATATTGTAGGGGTGGGCATTGGGTGGGTCGGGTGGATTTTGACCATAAAATGCACCCACCCGCGCTTAAACGGATTGATAATTTTTAACCCACCACCCACCCACATTTAGTCTCGGGTTGGGTCGGGCGGATGGTGGATGATTTGGGTGGGTTTGTGGGTTCACCCACATCACAATGTATATAATATAAAGGAGTCAACTTGACATGATAATAGGCGAAGAGAGTTATCTGGGGAAACAAGAAGATGAAATAGGGCGAAAAATGTCGAATTAGTTCTTAAAATGGATAGAATAGCTATTATGAAAGAGTTTTCTACAGATTGAGATGATTATCAGGTGCAAGGAACTAAGAAAAATAATTCCACAAAGGAAAGAGCAGTGATCTAGGCACAAGAATTAGAGGAAAAAATAAAGGGAAGAAGAGGGGATCGCTATTTGGAAGGTTGGCTTTGAGGTTTAAACTCCAGGAGCAGTCCTAGTTTATGTCTAACGTTTCCACTCTCCCCTCTCTAGCGCCAGCGACTTTGATCTTTTTGCAGTTGGGTTGAGCGGGTCACCCGCGCACCCACCCACAACCCACCCACCATCCGGCGGATGGCTCCCAACGCAACCCGTCACCCACCCATAGACCCACCCACTTAACAAAATTCGGGTCAAATGCGGGTGGGTTGGCCCAAACCTGCGGATGATCCGCCCGCATGCCCAGCCCTAATATATTGTATGGGGTCGTTTCCTTCTCTATCTGGACTCTTTTTGGACAATTTGATATTAATGGTTGTATGGCCACCGCCCACCAGCCCTATTCTTAACTAAATCTGGATTTCTATCTGGGGAAATCCCAAAAATAATAAATGAGCAAACACACAGTAGACATAGGATTCCCCGTTTTCCCAAATTGTAGTAGTGAGTGCCAGAATCCAAAGCCAAACGAAAAGGTCAACCTAACCCAACTGAATATTCCACAATCTCGACGGCTCAGATCACGCCACAGATTTACTCCCTCGTCGAATCCAACGGCTGCAGATGAAAGTTCTAGAACGACGCGTCTCCCAGGACATAACCCTTCGTCCAACTTGCAGCCGCCAAATCCCCGCATTTCCCGGGCGAGAGTTCTATTTGGCGCGCAAATCCCAGTCCCCAATGTGCGTACGATTTTTTTTTTCATTTTTTCCTGATTATTTCAAAAATGGCGGCCAATGCTATCGTTTCCCGCCAGGAACGGGGAAAAAAGAATCGCGGGCAGGTCGGGCAGGCTGGCCCAATTTGTGGTTGGGTCACTGATTGCGGGCTAAGCTAATGGAGAAGAAACCTAAAACCGCGTTTGGTTGAGAGGAAATTATTAAAAGGAAAGTAAAAAGGGATTAAGCCAATGGGAGGCGTGGGAATGGGGAACGAAAATCAATGGAAGGGTAGGGGAAAAGAAAGAACCTTAATTGAGGATTTTGACGTTATTTGTAGTTGCTTTTGAAACAAAATTTGTCCTAATGATTTTGTTATTTCTCACGTGAATGTATTGTACATTTGTACTATGATTTCGTCTTTAACTTCTCTCTCGTTTTGGAATGTGGAAAAGTGATTAACTTGTACAAGTAAAGCTTAACAATGTATTGATTATCTCTTCAAAATTTCGCACACAAGTTCCAAGCAACAAGAACTAAGAATAAGAAGAAGAAGATAATTACTAATTAGTGTTGTATATAGTAATTTTAGCTATATAGAGGGTGCCTCTGATGAGTGTATGCTTTGTAGTTTGTAGTTACTTTTGATTGGGTTCTCATCTTGAAAATCATATGAGTTTCAACAAAATTTTGATTAACTAAAAAAAGAACAAGCGGCTAAGATGTGAGATTGAGTCGATTGTGAAAATTTTCACGAATATTCGTTTAAGATAGTCGGCTTGCTCTAGACTACTATGTGTGGTTTGTTGAGCTAGATGGGAAAAGTCTTGGGTCCCAGATGGATGAATTTTAGAAGGCTCTATGTGAACGTGGTATATAATGAAAATGCGGTCGTTACAAGTGATTCCATTAGTGAAACACACAACTCACAAATAAATGATTCGGCTGAGATGGTATGCAATCTTCAAATTATGTACAAGCTATTGTTCAAATTTCCAACTATTGATTATAAACTGGTGGGGCGAGTAGGTATCTCAATACCCATACCCGTCCAATACGAAGCACGGGTTGGGGCGAGTATACCTTGTGTGTACGGAGCAGAACGGGTTGACCCACTTTTACATGTTATTTGGGAAAAAATACACGTAAAATTTTATTCATTTACGATAAAACAAAGGGAAAATACTTTATGAATGAAAAATAGTGATAATGGAATGGATAATTGAGTCTAACTAGTTGAAAGAGCAAGTCTAATTAATTGGAGAAAAGCCCAAATTGGAGAAATATAAATAAATATTTTAAGAAATTGAGATATAATGCTTTAAGAATGGGGGCGGGTTGAATGTAGATAACCATGCTTCGTCCCATGCTACTGCGAGTCGAGTAATAATCACCCCATGGTGGGTCAAGTCGGATATTCCCCGACGGAGCGGGTTCAAACTGACATCCCTATTTCCAACTACTTCAACATTGTGAGTGGCATGTAACCAATGTAATCATAAATGAAAGGAACATCCCGAAGTTTCAACCAATAACTTTTGTAAGAGGTCATACGAGTTGAAGATCCCATAACGTGAAAGTTGCATAAAAATACAAAAACAAGACGGGAGTTGAGACACTATCATGAGAGATAGACAACATGAAACTGCTATTTTTTTCCCTTTGCAATTTCTTTTTGCATAACTGCAAGTTCTTAATTTGTACCTTACATATAACTACAACATTATTAAAAGAGAGGAAGGACGAAGAACATATAAGTATACTCAAACCGGATACCTAAGGATTAATATTGTACTGTTTTTGGGTCGAAGCATGATGGTGTCAATAGCTCTGTATGTCCAATTATAAATCATGCCACTGATAAAACTAGCTTTGAAATATAACTTAGGATTCCTTCGGAAGGCCAATCCCTTCCCCTGTGTCGGATGGATTGGCGGTATATACTGTTTCACACTCTTGCCTTTATTTCAGGCATTGGATTCTCTTTCTCTCTCTCTCTCTCTCTCTCTATATGCTCTGTTTTTTTTCTTCTTCTTACAATCTCTATCCTGATCCTTTGCTATATGAATGGGCTTCATGGCCCAAAAAAATAACTCGAAGAAGAACAATAACAAACACCCCACTCGATTTTTTCACTTAACTTCAACAACCATGCAAGTTGAATATTGGGGGGAAAAAAAATATTGGAGTTGGCCGTCAGGTAGCTACATAGAGTTAAAGAAACTGCGACCTCTTTAATATTGGATGTGAAGTTGTAATTACATCTGTATACTTGTGTCGAGCAAACAAGGAGAAGTGTTAGAATATGGACTATGAGGTTTATCATGAAGCGATGACACAAACTTTCAAGAACTAGGTTCAATCATGAAACGATGAAACACTTTTATTTGTATCCATTCAAAGTGATCGAGAAGGGATGAGAAACAACATTGTTAAAATAACTTCCAATAAAGAAAATTATATCTTATATGAAAGAGATTATAATCTATTATTTTACCATCGTGACACATTGAGAGGGCTCTATCCTCCTAGACTATAGAATGGAGTGATTTGCTAGCTTTAGCTAGCTTTAACATAATTAGCTGGTTCGAGTAGCTATGAGAGCTCCGGGTAAACAATTTGATGGCAATAATTGGAAGAGTTTGACAAATACTAACAAACCAATTATTAATTAGGGTTCCTCTCTCGATTACAATTGAGGCCCCCCTCCCTCCAATAGAAAATTGGATGAGGCTCTAAGATCAATTGCATGAAGGTGAATCAACCAATTAAAAAATTCTGGCTAACCAATCAATTAAAGTATGTAGTTCTCATTTATGTCTTCAAGCAAAATCACAATCCCACAACAGGAATATTATCTCACTTTAATTTTTGGGAACATATAACAATATACTGAAATTCATGAATTAAAAATTTAATAATTAAGTGGTACTACACCTTAAATTTATTTGAAAACTTTTTAACTCCCTCCAAGCTTAATATATTTGTGAGATCCAACATCAATGAATACACGTGTCTTAATTGATATGCTCCCCGCTTATCAGAGCCTATTTTGAATTGTAAGAAAATTTGTAGTAAATTTAGAAAAATGTCGGAATGGAGAACTTTTTTAAACAATATGTGAATTAGTCA